AGGAGCTTATAATCTAAATCAGTTTAGATAGCATTTCTCCCCTAAAAATAATATTATATTTGATTATTGATAAACTATCTAATCCACAAATGACCATTCAACTCATAATGTATCTGAAATACTGAATGTTTGCAATAAAAAAAAAAAGAAAGAAACTGTAATCTTTTTTTTTTTTGGCTAGGCAATGGGGTTAAGTGACTTGCCCAGGGTCACACAGCTAGTAAGTGTTATGTGTCTGAGGCTGGATTTGAACTCAGGTCCTCCTGAATTCAGAGCTGGTACTCTATCCACTCTATTCTCTAAACTTAGCTGCCCTGAGAAACTATGATCTTAAGAGCAGATACTTGCACAGTGCTTAAAGGTTTGCAGAATGATCTGTGCTAATATGATTAGTTCATTTGTTCCTCACAACTCTATGAAATGATGTGTCTACCTTACGGATGATGAAGCTGAGGCGGAGAGCTTAAGTGACTTGTCCGTGGTCACACAGCTAATAAGTCTCAAAAGTAGGGTTCAAATCCAGGTCTCCCATGAGACCAACAAAACATAATGAGAAATAGCATTCTATTTGTCTTGGATGCTGGTGCCTGAGGAAAATGTGGTTTATTTAAAGCGCATGAAGAGGGGGATGGAGACATCTGGGAAGGATCTAAAGGGAAAGGGGGAACTTTCAGGGGCTTCGGAGAGGGGTTTTCATCTGGTACAGGTCTCTGTTTCCTCATCTGTGAAATGAGCATGGCATTAACACCTACCTCCATGTGTTTATCAGCAATGATTAGGAGTCACTTTTTGGCTCAAACTGGAACAAAGAGAGGGAGAGAGATTGTTTTCAGGTAACTGATTAGTGGGCAGCTAGGTGACCCAATGGGTAGAGTGCTGGATTAGACTTCTCTTCCTGAGTTCAAATCTAGCCTCAAACATTTACTAGCTGTATAACCCTGGGCAAGTCACTTAACCTGTTTGCCTCAGTTTCCTTATCTGTCAAATAAGCTGGAGAAGGAAATGGCAAACCATTTCAGGATCTTTGCCAGGAAAACCCCAGATGGGGTCATGACTGAAACAGCAGAACAACTGATTAGCAAGAAATGGAGAAGAATTCCAGTCAAGATGGTGACCTGAGAGATCATAGAGAAGCCCAGGTCTCCCCCATAAACCCCAGCAAATATCTGAAAAGTCCCAAAGAAAAGCCACTGGTGAAGAAAATCAGAAAGATTGTGGAGTGAGTTCCTCCAGAGTCGATGGGCAGAAGCCAGCAGAAGGGAGGGAAGGGACGTCACCAGGGAAGCCAGCGTGATCACAGGTAAACCAGTCACAGAAGCAGGAGAGAGACCTACCAGGGAAGTCAGGACAAGCTTAGGTTGATGTGAACGCTGCCGAGGTGAGGCCAGGGGCCATGCCCAGGAAGTCAGGGTAAACTCAGGTAAGTCAGCTGGACGCTAGCAGAGCTGATGAAGGGAGCTTCTCAGAGCTGCCCAGAAGCTTGTGAAAAACCGCTCTGGAGACCTAAACCAGGCAGCAGTTCTGAGCTCCAGGAGACCTGGAAGTGAGGAGTCCCCAAATGACCTAAATCTAATAATCACAGACTTAAAACCAGATTCTGTTTGTGATTTGTCAGAACAGAAGCAGGGATAGGACTAGCCCCTGTAGATTACTATACAGGGAGAAAGAGGCCAGCCTCACCCTCCTAGAAGTCCTGCAGGTTTATTGCTGAGTCTGACTCTTCATGACCCCATTTGGGGTTTTCTTGGCAAAGATATAGGAGTGGTTTGCCATTTCTTTCTCCAGATCATTTTACAGATGAAGGAACTGAGGCAGACAGAGTTAAGTGACTTGCCCAGGGTCACACAGCTAGTAAGTGACAGAGGCTGGATTTGAACTCAGGAAGATGAGTCTTCCCAGCACTCAGTTCATCTGATCTGGGGATGATGGGCAGGAGACCTGAAACCAACTTGATTTCTCATATCCTGCTGGGGCCTACCAGGGCCACCGCAAAGGACAAAACCACCTCCCAACTGGGGATTGCACAGGGAGAAGACGGAGGCTGTCAGACACTGAAACCTGAGGTAGACCACTAGGAGACTGAGGCAGAAGCCAGGATTAAGAGAATGGAAGTCTAATACTAGGCATGCCATGGAGATCAGCAATGACAAGTGTCGTCTGGACTGCAGAGGGGACAGGATCAAACAAGCTCTACCCCACCCTTCCAACAGTGCCTGAGGGAGTTGGCCCAAGCCCCATCTCCCCATACCCAACAGTTTAGGGTGGAAGTATGAGTAAACAGAGCTAAATACCAAAAACCATGTTCAGCAAAATATTGGAGGTTAAGAGAAGCCCAAGATGAAACCCAGATGAAGAGAGTCACCCCACCCAGGAGTGGGGAACCTGCGGCCTCGAGGGCACATGTAGTCCTCTAGGTCCTCAAGTGTGGCCCTTTCCTACCCGTGCCCCAACAACTAGAAGTAGAGACAAAGAGAAAAAAATAAATCAAAATCAAAAAGCTTTAGAAATAAGTTTCTCCATGGAGGTGAGAATTGTTCAGAAAGATGGCCAGAAGCCAGCAGAGATGAGTGGAGGGATACCATCAGGGAAGCCAGCATGAGGCAGGCAAGCCAGCCACAGAGGATTGTCCACCAGAACTACCAGGAGAAAAGAAGAAAGAGGTAAAAATTACAGAAAAACTAGAGTTCAAGAGGAAAAAAAACTCAAAGGAAAACTGAAATACCTTGAAATAGAAGATAGAAAACCTTACCCAGGAAGTGAACTGCCTTAAAAAATAGAATGGAGAAAAGATAATTCCAGGATTGAAAATAAAATGCCCAGTTTGGCATGGAAAGCCCTTCACCACCTGGCCCCTTCCCACCTTTCACACTTTCCTTCCCTCCATGTATTCTGTGATTCAGGCTTCTTGCTGTTCCTCTCATACCTGCAATGCTTTCCCTCCTCACCTGTACCTCCCGGCTTCTCTGGCCTTCTTCAAGACTACTTTAAATCCCACTTTCTTCAATAGGCCTTTTCCCATCTCCCTCTATACCTAGTACCTTCCCTCTGAGATTTTCATCTACCGGGCCATTTTCAGTTGGGTCCAACTCTTCATCACCCCATTTGGGGTTTTGTTGGCAAGGATATTGGAGTGGTTTGTGATTTCCTTCTCCAGACCGTTTTACAGATGAGGAAACTGAGGCACACAGGATTAAGTGACTTGCACAGGGTCACACAGCTCGGAAGAGTCACAAGCCAGATTTGAACTCATGAAGAGGAGTCTTCTTGACTCCAGATTGGGCACTCTACCCACTGTGGCGCCACCTAGCTGCCTTCCACTGTGCCAGTTCTGTACATGTTAAGACCCAACTAAAATCCCACATCCTACAGGAAGCCTTCCCCAGCCCCTCTTAATTCCAGTGCCTTCCCTATTTATCCTGTATAGAGCTTGCTTTGTATATATTTCTTTTCATGTTATCTCCCCCATTAGATTGTGAACTCCGTGAGTGGAGAGACTTTTGCCTCTTTTTGTAATCCCAGCACTTAGCACAGTGCCTGGCACATAGTAGGCGCTTAATAAATGTTTACTAAATTGAATCAGATGAAAACATACAAACTGTAACTGTTCACAAGTCGTTCTCCATCATTAGAATGTGAATTCAAGAACCACCATGTTTTTGCCTTTCTTTGTATCTCCAGCGCACATTAGTAAGCATTAATGTGTTTGTAGGCCAACTAACTAATGTGTATGGCAGCTAATCAAATGGGGAGACTGGGGGAGGGGGCTGGAGAGAAGGAACTTTAGCCAAACATGGTGGCTGGGGCTTTCCTGACATAGTGGTCTGGGTAAAGCAGTCACCAATGGTGGTGGGAGGAGTGGGCAGGATGGGAGTTTCTCCGGGGCAGTGATTTCCATTTAGGAGTCCCCAAACATCTGGTCCAGTGGGGTTCACCCAAAAAAAATCTGATGCCTTAAATAATTGCGGAACTTTATGAGTAGTATATCAAATTTTCCTGGAAGTTCACAACACTTTTTTTTCCCCATTGTTGTTGAAAAGACTTCTCAGAACACACACACACACACACACACCCACACACACACACACACACACAGAGTTTGGAACCACAGCACCAGCACATAGTCACTGATATGGGCAAAACACATTGATTGGATCAGTTCCTCAAGATGGCCACCCAGAGGTGACATTGGCTCAACGCAGCTTGGTGGTGGGCCACAAGTGAGAGGTGGGTGGAGAAACAACCTTACTGCAGATGTGGGAAGAGGTCAGGAGTGAGTAGCCAGCAAAGTGATCATTTATGAGGCATTTGCAGGTAGAGTATTTCTAATTCTCAGAGTGTCTATGTAAATGGTCTGATACTGATGTCAAATATGGGCCAATGACAAATGAATTGGTGGTGGGGAAGGGCCAAATGCAGACAGTAATTGGAAGTTGGAATTATTGGTAGGAGAGGGGGAAAGCCTTCCTGGAACAAAAGTTTAGTTTTTCTTTTGTTTCTTCCAATTGGGAGGAGAGGATGAGAAGGAAATAAATTATATGTCTTTTAATTGGAAGTATAAGTTTTTTCCCCTAAACTTTCTGGAAAGAGGTGAAGTTTCTGGAACAATTTGAGTGAATCACAAGAAAGAAATAGATGTAAGAGCCTGGATGGGAAGTGGGTAAGACCTCAAGACAGAGAAAGAAATGCAGATTGAAGCATATATTTATTTAGATATGGCTAATGTAGGAATTTGTTTTGCTTTGTTATACATGTCTATAAGGTTTTGATTTTCTTGTTTAGTGGTAGGGAAAGGGAGGCAGAAGGGAGAAAATTCAGAACTGAAAATAAAATAGAATTTTAAAAGGAAGTGGTGAGAGGGATGCAAAGCTCCATCCCAGGACTATGTACAACTTAGAAAAGTTATGAATTCTTTGGCCATGTGTCTTTATGCTTTTGGGGTCCAGGGGTGGGAGAGCAGTAACTCACTTTCCTTTGTCTGCCTGGCCTCCTGCCCTTCCCAGGTGTTCTTAGAGAAGTATGGGTACCTCCGTGAGCACGCCCCAGAAGCATCCAGCTCCCCACAGCTCACGGATGCCATAAGGTAAGATCTGGTTGGCCCAGGGCAGGGGTAGGACATTGGAGGATTGTTGAGGAGGAGTAGGGAACCCTGACAGCTAGCCTCCCCCATCCTCAGATTTGTCCACCACAGCCCCAGGGATATTGATCCCTCCCCCATCCCTGTCCCACTGCCCCTCTTGCCTGCTCTGTTGTTTGAATTCTTCTCTCTAGGGAGTTCCAGTGGGTGTCCCACCTACCAGTCAGTGGGCTGCTGGATACTGCCACGATGCGCCAAATGGCCCTGCCACGGTGTGGGGTGGTTGACACGGAAAGCCATTCAGCCTGGACGGAGAGGCTCGGTTCCCTATTTGCTGGACGCAGAGCCAAGATGAGGCTCAAGAAACGCTTTGTGCAGCAAAGTGAGTCCTCCTCCTCCTCCTCCTCTCCCCTCCCCCCACTGCCCAGCTGCCCTCACAGCCCTTCAGGAGCTCCAAAGGGACTGGGTCTCTCCCCTACCCCTCAGTATGCAGGCACCTCCAACCCACTGTGGAGCAGCATCTTAGGGGGATGCTCCCTGAGCCACCTTTCTGCTGTCAGAGCGCTGGGCAGCAGGGACAACAAGAGACTTAATAGGGAGTGTTAGGGGCGAAGTCAGAACCAGGGACCAGCCTGCTCTGAGGAGAGAAGCTGAGGGTTCTGCCTCCCAGCCTTCTCTCCCCCACCTTGAATGCAACTGAGGACAGCAGGAGGAAAAGCTGAGGACCACCCACCTACATCATTGATTCTGCCTGGGGAACCTAGCCCATTGTCCCAACAGCTGTCCCCCAGTTCCCATACACAGTCTTCAAAGTCCAAGGTTGGACTCCACCCTCCACCCCTCCCCTGCTGGACTGTCACACAGAGAGGAGGAACATGGTACTGGTGAAAAGAGCACTAGATTTAGGGTCAGAGGAACTGGGTCCAAATCCTGGCTCAACCACCTCCTACTGTGTGACCTTGGACAAGTCATATTACCTAGGTGGCCTTAAGCTCCCTCATTTGTAAAATGACGGGCTTGGACCAGAGACTAAATGATGTCTAAGGTTCCTCTCAACCCTAAATTACATATGATACAATATAATCTGATGACATGGTATAGTTATCCCTTCCACATTTCAAGTTTTCCCATCGTGGTTTCGATATTTCTCAAGTCGGCATAAGAAATTAAATGGGAATTTTTAGGGAGTTTTGCAAAAGCCACAGATGACACTCGAAAGCCAGCAGGTAACACAGAGCCTATGACCAAATATTTAACCCAGATTTTACAATAAGGTATTGTAAACACCCCATAAAAGAAAAAGAAAAAATTCAGACTTCTCTGGTATGGAGTCCCAAAAAATTGTCCTCAGATTTTCCAGATCGAGGGGCTTTCTAGCCCTCCGTGATGTGAAAGGGATAACTGTACAGTGAAAAGAATATTAGAGTTAAGAGTCAGAGAAACCAGGTTCAAATCCTGGTTTTAGCACTCACAGCTTACTTAAATCTGCCTGCCTCTGTGACCTTGGCCAATTCTCTGGGCCAGCCTTCCATATCTATAAAATGAGGTTAACTCAGAGACTTCTAAGGTCCATCCATCTCTATGAGATGTGACATACGGTGAGCGGTTCCTCCTGACACCTGAATCCAGGAGTCAGGAGGTGAGAAATGGAATCGTTAGGATCATAGAGCCAGGAGGTTCCTGGATTCCAGCCCAGCCTGGGCCTTCACTTGTTATTTGAGATTTGGCCTGCTGCGTTTCCCTCTGCCGGACCAGGTTTCCTGCATACAATGCGTGCTGGAAGTGGATGGTTTACTCCTTGCTCGTCAGACAGTCCATTTCTTGGCTCCGGGCACATTCTCTGACTGTCCCCCATGCCTTGAAGGCTCTTCCTCCACATCTCTGCCTTCTGGCTTCCCTGGCTTTCTTTTAAATCTCAACTAAAATCCCACCTTCTACAGGCAGCCTTTCCCAAGCCCTCTATATTCAAGCACCTTGCTTGCCCTTGTTGATTCTTTCCAAATTATCCTGTATGTAACGCAGTTGTTTGTATATTGGCCCCCGACACACACACACAGCCCAGCACACTGAGCTCCTTGAAAGCAGGGACCATCTTCTAGCTTTCTTTGTGTCCTCAGCCCTTAGTGCGATGCCAGGCACGTAGTAGGGGCTTAATAAATGTTTTTGGATTGACCATTCATCTTGGAGATAAGTGGGAGAAAGCTGGCATCTGGAAGGTGCTTGAAGAGCCTCTGTGGGTATAGAGGAGGAGAGATCGGTTGCCAAGCAGACATCTGCCTGCTGCTCTGTCCTGGGGAGGGGTGTTGAGGGGAGTGAGGGAAGCTGAACAGGTGAGGAAGGATGCCAGCTGCCACCTGGCCCTGCGGGAATGTCCTACACTCAGTGTAACTATAGTGACCAATCTAGTCCTGCCTTCTCTGCATAGCCCCAGGTCAGGAATTCAGAAACTTCTAACTCACCAGGGCCAGTCTAAAGAAAACAAGCCTGGGCCAGGGACGGCAAAGCACCCTTCCCCACTCACCTAAGTTCCTTCCTTCCCTCCTTGGCTCCCCCTACCCCCAAGAAAGACCTTTCATTTTCTTTTTTGGGTGTCTGCTACTTGACCTCCTCTCCCACTCCCCCTCACAAACACACACAAAGATCACTGTGACGCTTCCTCCCTGGATCTGGCTCTGGGGCAGCTGTAATCCCCAGGGCCTGCCTCAGGAAGAGAGGAGGAGAATTTACCTAGCCAGCTGCTACCCCCTAAGCGGGGTGAGAGGGCCCTCTGAGGAGCTGCTTGGAGCGTCCGTGTCTCCTCCAAGGGGAAGGGCTGAGAGAAGCCTAATTCTGTGCTCCCAGACCATCTTTCCCCACCTTTACCCCCAACAGGCTACAAATGTCTGTTTTCTTCCCCTCCCCCATACATACATGGCGGGGGGGGGGGGAGTTCTCGAGCCTGCCTCCTCTTTCTCTCCTTCCCTCCCAGTCCATTGGGTGATCTTTCCATCACCCTCCCTGAGGGGTTGTTCTCCAAGGCAGTCTGGGGCCCTGTGCCAAACCAAATACACCAAGGAAGGAGCCTTACCTTCAATGGCTCGAAGTACCACAGAGCTGACAAATGAGATTCTCTCCATCTCCCAGCCATGCTCCTTTTGCCCCCACCCCTCCTTAGCCTCTGATCCTCTCCCATTGAACCTGTCTGGGGAACCTAGCCCTCTGCCCTCTCTCCTTTTATTCCCCCACACAATTTCCAAATCCAAGATTGCCCCCTCCTTTTCCCTTTTCCCACCTCAGCTCCACCGCCAAAGGAGGGAGCCAAGAAACCCTCTTTTGATAATAAATGCTAGTGTAAAGATTTGTATTTATATATTACATTTATGTTTTATTTCCCCAGATTTATACACCACCTCACTAGGCAATGTTATTCTCCTATTCTCTCTGCTTCCCACATGAGAGCACCTTCCACACCCCTCTCCCCAGAAGACAGTAGACCTTGTGTTTCCGACCTAGAAGGATGAAGGAAAATGGAAAGATGGAAACCACTTTGGTGGGAGGAATCACAGTGGCCTGTACCTTTGAGTAATAATAGTAGCTAATACTTAAATAATACTAGACCAGAACTTCTTAACCTGGGAGCCATGGACCATACATTTTTAAAAGTCCCTGAAATTATGGGGCAGCTAGGTGGCACAGTGGGATTGAAGGGATGAATCCCTCACGGCCCTGAAGTCAGGAGGACCTGAGTTCAAATCCGGCCTCAGACCAAACACTTAATACTAATTGTGTGACCCTGGGCAAGTCACTTAACTCCAACTGCCTAAAAAAAAAAGTCCCTGAAATTAGATAGGAAAAAATTATATCTCTATTTTCACTAAGCTGTAATTGAAATTGAGCATTTCCTACAAATGATGAAGGTAGGCAATCAACCCCAGTAGTCATCAGATATTTTCATATCACATTACAGTTGTTGCAGATATCTTGAACTATCATTTATGTTCATCACTGCTTTAAACTCTGGGCAGCTAGGTGGCACAGTGGATAGAGCATAGGGTCTCGAGTCAAGAAGCACTGAGTTCAGATCCAGCCTTAGATACTTACTAGCTGTGTAACCCTGGGCAAGTCACATAACCCTGTTTGCCTCAGTTTCCTCATCAGTAAAATGAGCTGGAAAAGGAAATCGAAAATTACTCCAGTATTTTTGCCAAGAAAACCTCCAAAATGGGGTCACAAAGAGTCAGACATGACTGAAATGTCTGAATAATAACAACTTCAAAATTATTGTAGTCTCTAATGACTGCTAGCTAGATCTCATGTAATTGCAATTGTCCTGTCTACACACTGTATTTCAACATAATTGATTTCCTTTGTAATCCTCTGTTTTATTTTATGCATTTAAAAACCTTATTGTGAGAAGGGGTCTATAGGTTTCACCAGAATGATACTCATAAATGCTAGAGAATCCCTAAACTACACATCTGAGCCTCACAAGTAGGTACTTAGGAAGTACCTGGCCATTTTAATCCCCATTTTATAGATGAAGAAACTGTGGTTCAATGAGGTCAAATAACAGCTGATAGGGCTCAAAAGCCAAATTTGAACTCATGCCTTCCTGACTCCAAGTCCAGCGCTATCTCCGGTATACAAAGCTGCTTCCCAGCTGCTCTGCCTCAGTTGTCTGGTTTCCAGACCTGTGAGCAATATCCATGGTGTAGCTGGCGAAGCAGAGGGACGAGTGTTCCCAATGCGCTAGGCTTGGATGGGAAATTGTCTTCAAACTGGGTCTCTGCTCCTCTGGCTAATGCTCATCTATCCTGCCTCCCAGAAACACCACTGCCCCCACAGCTCTGAGCTGCCAGGCCTGGAGAGAACTGTCAAATAGAAACACTGGGGCTATTCATTCTAATCAATCCCTGTCTCATATAAGCCTTGCATTGTAGAAAGACTAGGAGCCAGAGGGCCCAAGTTTGAATCATGGTGCTGTTCTAACTGGCTAGCCTTGAGCCAGTCCTTTTGATTCTCTGGGCCTCAGTTTCCTATTTGGAAAATGAGACATTTGGACTAAATGGTCTGTGAGGTCCCCCACCCCCACCTCACTCCTCCCGATGCTAAATCCTCTGGTGTTCTGACTTGGGCAATGGGACGTGGGAGGAGGGATAAGGAAGGCGTCTGGGAAGGCCTCTGGAAGAAAAAGCAAAGGCAGGAACCACCCAATCAGCAGCTTCCCAGCCTGAGGCCCTGCTTGCCCTCTCTGTAGTTGGAATTACAGCCGGGTGGCCTAGTGGGGAGGACAGTAACCTGGGAGTCAGGAACTCCTAAGTCTGAATCCTGTCTCAGATACTTAAGTTGTTAGGTGACCTTGGCCGAGTCACTTAACCTCTGCCTCAGTTTCCTCATATGTAATATGAAGAAGTTAGATTGGATGGCCTCTAAGGTCTCTTTCAGATCTAGATCTATAATCCTATGAAAGAAATGACTTAAACTGATTGGAGATGGAAAAATCCTTCCAGGCTGTAGTGTTTTCTTTCTTTCTTTCTTTCTTTCTTTCTTTCTTTCTTTCTTTCTTTCTTTCTTTCTTTCTTTCTTTCT